TCAATTGCCTGTCCGACACCAAAGTCGGAAGCTACCATCGAGTTGTTGATTGTTCAATTTAACTCTTGACGATAGAACGTGGTGTGTTTTTGTTTGAAAAAGGTGGTGGGGCCAAGAGCGAGCAAAAGTCAGAAGCTATCATCAAAATCGTGTTCGGTTCTGATTGGTTTGGCTTGAAAGACCTGGAGGGGTTAGGGGGGAGGGCATTGCACCTCTCCGCCCACAGCATCAGTAACACCAAAGTGGCAAGCAGCGACAAAAGCCAGAAAAATAAAGACAACAAATCCCAATCAGCTGGAACCACCCAGGCAGGCGACCAAGGGAAGTATGGGACCAGGACACCAGGGGACAAGAAACAAGCATACAATACAAGTAAATATGAATTATAGTGCTTTTGAATGCGTAGGTAAATAGTTGCCATCGTCGCTGCTGCGTGCCTGGTGTTTTTGTTGGCTTTCATGGTCAGCGATGTCTTTTTCGCATGTAGTGAAATGGTATGCTACGTTGGGCGGGTCACAGAAGGTATGCTACGTTGGAATGGCTCCTTTCTCCTGTAATTTTTGCCCGCGGGTGGCTCACAAAAGGTATGCTACGTTGGAATGACTCCTTTCTCCTCTAAATGTTACCCTCGGGTGGGTCACAAAAGGTATTCTTTCCAAGGCCGGCTTTCATTTGAAGTGATAGAGAAGCAGATGAAAGCTGGTTTCATTCTTTGCAAGTGCTTCGCTTGGAGTTGCTGTTCGCCAAGACTGTGTGAACATGATGAGCAAGTCGTGTTTACAAAGACACCTCATATACATTATCAATGATGACGGCTCGTGTTTTTGCAAGTTGCTTCGATGAACTCGAGAAAGACATGACAGAGAAGCACCGGCTTCATTGCCTTGAGCGCTGCTGCTGGGAATGAGATGCTGACCTGGTGCCATTTGGAGATGGCTCATCTTGCTATCTCCGAACCAATGCAGCAATTCAAAAAGCGCGCGGCTTTGCTCCTCTCATGAACAGTGGCATGCAGTGTGCTGCTGGAACTATGTCTGACTCTTTCGACGCAGCCAGATTGACGACTACTCGTCTTCTCGCTGGCTACACGTTGAGCCCAAACCTGATTGAACAGTGGGGCCTTGAGAGCTTTGGTTGGCCCACCCTGCTATAGAGGCTTGCTGGGAAACTGTGGACTCAGCACTTGAGTTGGCGCATGACAAGATTGTGCTGTGGATGCTAGACCCAACACTTTCTGGACATCGCCGCAAAGACAGAAGCTACAGAGGGAAGCGTTTGCGTCAGAAACACAGTCTGTGACCGAGTGTGTCGAAGCGGACGGTACATCAATTGGCAGGTTCTTTGTCAAACGCACCAACCATACATTCGCAGAAGACATCGCTGCTCTGGAAGAGAAAGAGGGGCGAAGTTACGCTGCATACCCAGTTCATATTCGCTTGCTCGGACTGCGGGAACGCGGTGGGCGTTTGATTCTTCGGTTCTTGAAACCGCGTGGAGCTTTGACTATGATATGACTTTGGACATTGGTGTCTTCTTGTGGTTTCCTGCTTCATTTGCTCCTTCCTTTTTTGGGCAAACGATCCCAGGTATGTTGGCCGAAATCCCCCCCCTCAAGAGAGCTGATCAGAAAATTCCAGTTCACAAATTTTGTGTCGGGTGAGTTCTGCAAGACCAGCAGCGTTCGCAGGCGGCGCCAGGGCATGGTACAAAGCAGCTGGACAAAGACGTTCCACGGGGGGTTGTCGCACGAAGCGGGCTCAAACACTCATGCAGATTGGAAGAAATTGAAATGTTGGCTGCCACAGACAGCCAACAACGAAAAATTGCAAAGGTGCAAAGGCCACGCATTCAGCGAAGCTGGAGATGCATGTGTGGCAATTGGTGTTTCGACGTGACAAGTTGCGAGGAACACCGGCGAAGAACGTGAAAGCACTCTCCAAAGTGTGGAACGCAAAGTTGCTTTCGAAAGTGCCAAAAACAAGGTGCGCCCGTGTATGCCGCAGCCTCAGGGGGAACGTGACCACTACAACCACGAAACAACCAGGCGCTTGATGGCATCGTTCCCAAATAGTTTGTCTTGAAGTGTGTGAATATATTTTGGTGCAAATGGCATGTTGGTCTATGTATAAACTATAGCATGACAGCCCTCCACATGTCGGGCACCCGTTTGGTGTATGTAGATTGTCGTAGGCCTGTACATGACCTGCTTGCCTGGAATCCAGGCGATAAGGACCAGACGCCGAAAGCAGAGAGCCTTCCAAGACGGAGACTGCAAAGGTCTCACGCAGTTGTGCCATGGAGCCTTGGGCAATGCGAAGCCAATGGACTTGAGATCGAATATATAGGGAGTTGTTGCATGCATTTTTAGTCAATTAAGAGGACTCAACTGAATCAATATACTGCGGAAAGAGTTGAACTCAGGCTCAAGCGCTGGAGGCCAAAGACTTGTGAGAGAAGTGGACTGGCGCCGTGTGAAAAGAATACCGATCGAGAAAAAGACAACTATATTGGATCCTGTTCTGTGTCTACAAGACTCCCAAGAGCAGTTTTTTTCAGCGCGTCACGCTTCGCGCACCAGAGCACGAAGATTCATTAACAAAGCACCTGGGATGGCCATACATATTCGATTCAAGTGCATACTGCCAACCCGAGGTAATGTGAGGCACTTCTCAGAAGCTGCTTGCCTGACATCACGAGGCTCCGAATGACAAGTTCATGCGTGTCCGTGTCAGCGGCTGATCTTAGCAATTAAGGGGTTTGCAAAAGCACGATGAGGAAGACGCAGAATTTCAGAAGTCAAATTGTCAAGCGTTTGCTACAGCTCTGGGTATGCTAGTGACACATAATTTGTAATCATGCATTTGCAACGTGCCTCAGTGGCTGAAGCCTCGCTAGCATCCCTTGCAGCCCGCAGGGCAGCCAGGCGTCCCTTCACCGCCTTGTCCATTCGTACGGTTGCGGAGTTCACCATCATTCATGTGGTTATCTTCTAACAACGAGTTCACTCGCAGTTGTACTCCCCAGTTAAGTGACTGATTCCATTTCAACTCCTCCAAAAGAAAGATTCAGCTCCATTACATTCCATTACAGCAAATATCTCCACAAGAGACCCCAAACAGTATGTCAGAGGTCTAAGGCCCTAGACGTATTTGGCTCCACAGAGATCTCGAGATCTAGAGGTCCAGCGATTCAGAGGTCTGGAGATCTTGAGATCCATTTACTGTAGGTCTTGAGGTCCAAAAGGATCTAGAAGTCCATAAAGATCAGAACGCCTGACATCCAGAGAGGTCTAGAGGTCTAGATTTGGAGATCTAGCTCTTGAGATCCAGAGAGGTCTTGACATCCAAAGGTCTGAAGACCCTAAGTCTCTAGAGGTCTAGAGTTTGAGGCCGAGGAGATCTACAAGTCTTGAGATCCAGAGGTCTAGAGGTCCAAAGGTGAGGTCTTGAGAGCGAGCGAGCGAGCGCGAGGGAGAGAGAGAGAGAGGGAGAGATCTGGATGTCTAGGTAGGTCTGGCCGAGATCTAGAGGTCTCTAGGTCTAGCAGAGATCTAGAGGCCTAGAGGTCTTGAGATCCAAGAACTCTAACTCTAGTTGTCAAGGTCCAGAGTTTGGGGGGCTAGAGGCCTAAAGCAAAGGTCGAGATCTTGAGAACCAGCGTCTTGAGATCCAAACCTATCTAAAGGTCTACAGATCTAGAGGTCTAGAATCCAGAGGCCGGGGTCTTTAGATCCAGAGAGATCTAGAGGTCTAGTAGAGATTAGACATTTTGAGATGCAAGCCTAGGAAAGCACAAAAAAAAAGTCAAGGTCCGAGATCAAAATCCAGAGGTCTAGAGCTCAGAGGCCTCGAGAGAGCTCTTGAGGTCTAGAGTTCTAGAGTTTAGACAGCTTGAGAGATCTGCAGCGATGAGAGGTCTAGAGGTCCAGGTCTTCTTAGAGATCTCGACCTTGGGAGCTCTGGAGATCTAGAGGTCTGGAGGCCTAGATCTAGAGGTCAAAATCTAGAGATCTAGAAGTGTAGAGGTCTTGGAGGGTGTAGGTCTAGAGGCCTAGAAACCTACAGGTGTCAAGGTCTAGAGTTTGAGAGGTCTAGAGGTGGAATTCTAGAGTTTGAGAGATCTAGAGAGGTCTGAGGTCTAAAAATCCAGAGCTCGAGTCTGGAAATCCGGAAGTCTTGAGATCGGTCTAGAGATCTAGAGGTCTACCGATGTAGGTTTGGAGGTTAGGCGTCTCAGCTCGGTCTAAAAGCGACGGCTTGAGAGAGGTTGTCTAGAAGAGACCTGGAGGGCTGGAGAGAACACAAGTGAGAGGACATGTAAGAGCACAACTGCTGCGCCTGGCACGAATTCTACGCTTCAAGGTTCACCAAGCGCTGCGCTTGCCACGAAATCTGCACTTCTAGGTCCACAAAGCGCTGCCTGCCAAGAAGTCTGCACATCAAGATTCAGACCGCCCAGCCCTGCCACGGCGGGCTGCAGCAAGAGCACTTCCAAACACACGATCGAGATGCCAAAATGCAGCTTTTGTTTGAGACGTCCCCCGATGTCTGAAAACGAGCCACATGTCCAAAGGTCACGATTGACTGCACCCAAAGCGCTGCACCAGCGAAGTAAACTTTACACGCAGCCACAAAAAGTCTACTTTGGACCACCAAAACACGAGGTTTCCTTTCGCCTGCCACGAAAAGGGATCACCAAGTCCGAACATGTGCACGGCACCACAACGAGAGCGCAGTCTTGAAGATGTTTGGGGAGTTGAATCCACAGCTACTTACTTCTTCCGATGCTTTGTAAACAGTTTTTCAGTGACTCCTATCATGCCTGGCCTGTTCAATCCCAATTCCAAAGATGCTTTACTGTATTCTGGTTGTCTTTTATAAATCTTTGCTGGGTGTTCGCTCAAGTCTTTCTTTTTCCACGGCTTTCGCAAGCTTTCCAGGCCTCTCTTGCAGCACGTTTCTGAGGGCCGAGGGTCCCTCTTGCCAGATCTGTTTCTGCAGTTAGCCGCCTGTCAGCGTTTTGCTGTTTGATGCTGTTTGGCTAATTACTAAGGAAGTGCCAGCAAAATGTATCTTAAAGGTATTCTAAAGCCACCTCAGCCACCAATGGAAAAGTCAGGTGTCGGAACAGTCACAGGTCGGTATGCATATACTGTCAAGAATCGGATGTATAATAAAAGCAAGCAAGCTCAAAGCAAATCTCACCCAAGCGCTGCCCAAAACGAAATATGCCAGCTGTACTCGCGCAAGTGTAAGTCCTTCAAGTCCAATCTTAGAGCTCTTGAAAGTTGTTCAATGAAGTTCTGAACGATTATGTTGAGGCCTGACAGGACCTCACAGCCTCACAGCAAAGGTAGCTATTGACGGAGGTTCACTCAAACTGCCCATCAGTCCTCGGCGGTGCTCCGCCTGGGTCCAGGCCGGCTGCAACATGTGTTTTTTGTTGCATAGGCCAATGAAACATCTTGATAGGGTCACACAAAGATTCTAAAGCTAATTTTATACACTGTATATACATCCTGTGTTAATTGTTCGTTGTGTTCCGCAGAAACATGTCAAGGCACGGCCGCTCAAAGGGCTGCATTGGCAGGTGAAGCCTCGGCTTGGTTTAGGCAAGGCCTTTTTCAACACGCAAAGCAGTCTCATCGCTCTCTGAAGAGGTTCAAATGAATGTTGGAAATCTGATAGACCAGTTCCTGGGTGAATGCGCTATCAATTGTTTTGAGGTATCGGGATGAGACAACCACTTTACATTCTTGTAATTTTATTTGCACAAGCTGCGCAATCTGTATGCCCAGGGCTGGAGGTGGAAATTCCTCAGCAAACCACAAAAGTCCAACTGTTCAGACCCCGCATGGTAAGGACCCAAAAAAAGATCCCCAAAAAGACGAAGAGGAGCATAAGGGCTCCAAGCTTGCTTTGAAAAGCAATGAGGACTACTCTTAATTCCAAAAAACTGCTCTACAGGAACTGAAAGCATCTGACTGATTTGCTCCTCAGAGCTGTTGAACTGAGAGCGTCAAGATAGATGCTAGAGACATCAGGACAAGATATCGAGACTGTCCAAGATATGCTACCAGTTGTAATGCCCTTGTTACTAGTAGCTTCTTGATCCTAGTAGTAATGCCAGGAGCTACTAGTAGCATTCTTGTTACTAGCTTCTAGCGAAGCCCTTGGACTGTCGGCCTTTGTCACCGAACTTAGAGCAAAAGGCAGAAGGCTTTGTCTGCGCTCAGAAGAGTCGGATTCAGCGGCCTAGTGCTGTGCTATTTGCTGGACTAGAAAGAGTGATATCATATATATAACCCACTCATGTGTTATCTGAGTGACAGTTAGCAAGTGTCTTCAAAATCATTCCCAACCACAATCAAAACAAGTGGCAGATAGGCCTGCTGGTGAAGAAAAACAGAAACTAAACGCACTGATTGACCTTCAAAAGCAGTCCATTCAGATATAAATGTGAGGCACACCAAGATGGAACTTGCTGCTTCTGCAGGTATGTTTCTCGCAGGGTGCCAAAAAAATGAATAAACTTTGGAGCAGCCCAGTCATCAAACCTGCTGGATCTTGAGCTTCCAAAGGAAAAGGCACTTCCCGGAGCTCTTCCAGATGCCACATCACCTCAAAAGCTTCCACATTGCGGACATAGAGCCGCTCTGAGCATGTGAACCCACAAGAACGAGCAACATATTGTGATACAAAATACATTCCAGGTATCGACAAACCGTTCCAAGTGGGTGGCTTAATTTCAATACCTGGCAAGCAAAGTCCACCACACCCACAATGCGCGTTGATACAGGCATGGCGCTATCGAAGGTCACCTGCTTTGCTGAAGCGGATGGAAGCATCACAAGGGATGCCACATTTGATCATATTGCTGGCCTCGCTTGCTGAACTACAGGGAATGGCATACGCACTGACTGAAGCCATGGAAATGGAAGACAATCGAACACCTTTTGATGAACGGTTGACTGAAGATCTGATTTTCAATCTGTGCAATAATTGGAGCAGCCGCCCCGGAAACAAGTGCCACACGGCCAAAGGCATGTCGTGTTGCCAACAAGCACGGCAAGCATTGAGTCGGAGCCAAGTCACGAAGGTCGCCTCTGGCGACATTGGCTTCCCACAGTTCTTGTCATTGACCCAGGAAGGTAGGGTGCCTGGAAGAAAGGGCTGTGAGGTTGTGAGCACAAAAAAAACCCAAGACGCATTTCACATGTAAAACCGTCTAAGCCTTTGCCATATTGTTTGCTGCTTGTGGAATACATCGCAGACGGGTCCAAGATGTCATCCTGCCCAAGAAAGGCAGAAAGCATGGGCATATCAGCTGCATCTTGCGGCTATCCTTCCAACAAAAATCCAAAAGCAATGTTGCAGGCCGACGGACAGACGGACCACTCAAATCTACTAATGCGGATCTTTCCATACAAGACAGCACCTTCAGACAACTTTGTGAACATGAGGGAGTGGAACTTTCTTTATGGCAGTCTCATGGCCAAGCCTCCCCGTGAAAAGATCTGCTCCCGGAAAAGAGGCCTCTTATATAGCTCTACCAGGTCTACTGTCAGCCAAAGTGTTCGTGTTTTCGTGATCATTCACTGGCACAAAATTCCACAAAAGGAATTCTAAGAAAAAGCCCTAGCAATCAGCATGCTCAAATTCGAGGCCCTGGCTGCTGGAAGGCCGACGAGAGGAGCATGTTGAGGACCCCTGGAAACGGAAAAATGCACCGCGCCGTAACTATGGCACAATGCGCTCTGTGATGTGCGTGTGCATTATCTGAAGCCCGACCACATGAACTTTTGAAAGCGGCAGGCTCCCACACTGCGGCTTTTGGGCATGAATGTTGGCAAAGAGCACGAATACTTGAAGGATTATTAAACCTCTCCAGCCCTATGATTAAATGATGCTGGATTGGTTGTATTCAAGGTGGTGCCCGGAGACCAACTGGGGTCCATAGTGATCGAAGTTATTCAAAAGCAGGGGTGCGTTAGTGGAGAAACGTCGTCCAGACTCCAACAAAAAAGAAAAGAAATATAAATAAATAAAGAAAGAAAGAGAGATAGAGAGATAGAGAGATAGATAGAACGAACGAAAGGAATAAAGAAAGAAAGAGATGATACAGTAGACTCAGTAGACAAAACGGAAAAGGGTCTGTTAGTGGAACTGCCATACACACAACCTCGTTGTCAGCCTGAAATTACAATCCAATAGCACACAACTATATAGACGCACTCAATCAGTCCACTGATACAAGAGGGAGATCACCTTTGTGATATTGGCAGACACTTGAAATCCAAAACTTTCAGGCAAAGAGATGATGGGGGCAACAATGGCCAAGCGTTCGCCCAACTAAAAAGAACACGATGAGCTACACTTGTCATCTTCAAAGAAGGCATTGTAAACATAAAATTGCAAGAAAAAAAATCAAAGACCGAGCAACATGTCGGCAAGCATCAAAAACCAGCGCTGAGGAAGAAGGACATTGTCAGAGAAAACCAGGAAGCGCCTATATGAGCAATTCCAAAACTTGGAGGGGCAACACAATCAGCATGTAAAAAATTCAGAAGTGCGTTGAAGAAATGAACCCAAATGTATGTGCAAATGGCTGCATACCACCAAACACTGGCCACATTGTGACACACAAATAGCTGTGGCATTTGGGTGCATGATAAAGATTCGTGGTTACAAAGTCTGTGATGAGGGCTGTGGCTGGGAGAAGCTAGTTCAGGGCTCCGAACAGAGCTGTAAACAAATGAAATTGTATTGAACAGAAGGTTGGGAAGGGGGGGCAGTTTCCTTACCCTTTGACCTAGCCGGCCCCAACCTTTCTTTGCAAGCTTCAATACAAGACTTCAGTGCTTAGTAAGTAACTTGGTAATTAACTAAGTGACCTTAGTCCGTTTGGAAAAAGAACAAGAAACGCAGCTCGCCCATAAGGCCAAAACTTTCAAACCCACAAGTGCCAAATGAGGGTTGCTGGTGAAATGTTTCGGGCGCATGGTTTTAGCATGACTTTTTGCAAGCTGCGAAGTGAGTCGCGAAGTGAAAACACCATGGCAGACTCCTCTTGACACTTTGAATACAATGCGCCAGACATGCAGTCTTGACATGATGTCTTGACACCTTTCTTGAAGCTTGAACATGTTGGGCATGACCGAAGCCCTTCCTTGGTGCGAGAAAAGGCGGTAGCAGCCTTGTTTTTTACACGTGGGCTATGAACCCAAGAAGCTGCTAGCCATGTCGGTGACCTCCTCGATGGAGTCGGCGAGCTCGGGAAAAAAGAGGATCCCGGTGAACCCTTTTTGGTCAGAGCAGATCAAAAAGGAGGCGATCCTGAAAAGCTTGAGGCCGATGTCTCTTCCTCCCGCGGTTGAGCGGGGTCGAGGACGAGAAGGTCAGGGTTTGCCCATGGTGGCATTGAAGGCGGGGCCTGAAGTGGATGAAGTTCAAGAACAGACCTTGCACATGGAGAGTGTCATGGCCATGGTGTTGCACAGAATTCGGAGCTGCAAAACGAGTCAAAAGGAGGGTAATTGCTCTACGCCAGTGTCAGGCAGCTCCTGAAAAGAAGTCGAATGACACACTCAGCTGACCTATGGCGCAACCCTCTGCAGCGGGATTGGCTTTGGTGCCGCGCCGATTTCAATGAATGGCTCAGGACAGCCGAGCGGGTTGATGAATGGCAGGTCAAATGGGCGACGCAGCTGCGATGATGCTTGACTCGGTGGGCAATCAGTGCAGTGGGGGGGAGGACAATCCCTCGAAAGGCCGGCGCAGCCGCTGTGGAAGAAGCAGTGAGCCAAGGGCCGATGGGGCAGCCACAGGTGTTCTTTCCTCCTGGTTTTGGATGCGCTGGCACTGGTAAGCTGGAGAGGAAGATCAAAGCGCCGCAGGACAGGACGGCTGTCTATGATGGGCAGAGATCGACGAGCTCTTCTTGACGTGGGGCCACCCACTGTTTGAGGCAAGCTGCTGATGAGGCTGAATGGAAGTCAGCTATCGAGGTTGAAGTGGCCCTGGCCTCTGGGACTGACATGCTGCGGCAGATCCCTTGCACGAAGACCCTTGTGACCCAGCAGCCTGCGCAGCCGATCCGGACGGAGGCCCGAAAGTACCTGCACACACAGCAGATGTGCGGACCTGGCAGGAATACCGCAATGCCTTTTTGGAAGATGGACTTAAGGGATGCCGAATTGACCTGAGGCACTTAGAGCTTTGAGGGCGGAATTCACGGAGCTGGAATTGTGGGAGGAGGCCTACAGTGCTGGCAGCGAATTCTATATGGAGGGGTGAGGTCGCTCTGACTGGGGGTGGAGGAGGGCGAAGTGGAGAACCGCTTGAAGAGGGAGTTCGACTGCGAGAAGGGAGAGGTCAAGGCCAAGGACCTTTCCGAGGGTGGTGAAGCCAGAGGAGGTGAATGTGACCGACCATTAGCACCTCGACTCAGCGGGTGACTGGTGAGACAGTCTACTACCGCCGGGCTTGGAGGGTGGAAGGAGCTGCACGTCCGCAGGCTTGCTCCGCGATCAGGGGGTCGAAACTGGTCATGGAGATTCAGAAGTGTTCCGCGTGCTGGGGCCGGACACCACCAGTGAAATTGTCCTTGCCGAGGGAAAATCGGCGGAATCAGCCACATGCGATTCGGCCATGTGAACGATGCAGGAAGGCTTAAGCTGGGAGAAAGATCGGAATTTTGAATGTTTTTGGGCGCCTGTCGACCCAAAAGGGGGAGTGCCAGACATGCAGTCTTGACATGATGTCTTGACACCTTTCTTGAAGCTTGAACATGTTGGGCATGACCGAAGCCCTTCTT